ATATATTCTCTTTCTATTAATTTATCTCATTGTTTTGTTACCCACCTTGGGGTTCTTGGGTTCCCCAAGACAGAAATCAAACAGAAACCCCAGAGACATTTCCAGACAGATTTTATTAAGCTTATGCTCAAGCACAAGGGAGGCAGCACGGAGGGAAGAAAGGGCCTCTGAACTGACTTGGGGACTAGGTCTGCTTGGCTGATTTTATAAGCTGGGGACAAAGTGGGCAGACTTTTTGAAAAAGGCGGGCTTGGGGGGACTTGCCTTTCCAGCCGCCTGGCCTGTAACTGCGTTTCCACCTGTAGCTGTGGGGGCAAGGTGGCAGACTGCTCATTACTGCGGCCCTAGGAAGGTCCTCTAGAGTCAAAGCTTGATCCACTGTGCATGTTTAAGCAGGCCAGGGAAATAGTCAGCTGCCTCTTCGTTCTTGAGTACAGAGTGGAGGGTGGTGACATTTTTGTGGTCAGCTTATCACAAAATCCATGCGACCATCTAGTCTCGCCTTGGCTTCATGGCTACCTGGTATTTTCTGTCCCCTGCCTCACACCCCTGTTCTGGTCTCAGCTTGCTTTGACGCTTTGCTTCAAATGATAGATGGATTTCACTCAAAAGTTTAGTTTTTAAATAAGCAGTAAACTCTGGTGTTCTTATATTTCTCTCATATGATATAGGCCTCTGATTTGACAAATGATCAATTTTGTGTGATTTTCCTTTAAAAAGAAAATATGAACTTGAAACCTCTAGATCAGCGGTTCTCATCCTGTGGGTCGCAACCCCTTTGGGGGTCGAAGGACCCTTTCACAGGGGTCGCCTAAATATATCCTGCATATCAGATATTTACATTATGATTCATAACAGTAGCAAAATTACAGTTATGAAGTAGCAATGAAAATAATTTTTTTTAATATATTTTATTGATTTTTTACAGAGAGGAAGGGAGAGAGATAGAGAGTTAGAAACATCAATGAGAGAGAAACATCGATCAGCTGCCTCCTGCACATCTCCTACGGGGGATGTGCCCGCAACCAAGGTACATGCCCTTGACTGGAATCGAACTCGGGACCGTTTAGTCCGCAGGCCAACGCTCTATCCATTGAGCCAAACCGGTTTCGACAATGAAAATAATTGTATGGTTGGGGGTCACTACAACATGTAGTGACTGTATTAAAGTGACTGTATTAAAAGTTTTGGAACTGTATTAAAGGGTCGCAGCATTAGAAAGGTTGAGAACCACTGCTCTAGATCAAGTTTGGTCCCCTTCTGCATTCCTGAAATGAAGTTATAATTGTGTTAAATTACAATGAGAAAAGAGAAATGAGTTTTTAAAAGGATATAGAGAAAACCGCTTTTTAAAAAATGAATGTGCCACGGTATGTCCATGAGAAGTACTGTGGTGAGAAGCACATCAAACAGGCCTCACTGCCCCCCGCCAGCAAAATTTGAGGCTGGTGCTAAAAGTTGAACTGCTTCAACTGTTAAATTGATAATCAGTGTATTTTTAGATAATTGGATTCTTTACCTATAGGTCATCAAAACCTGGGGTAAGTGTTCTCGGTACACATGGAATAGAAATAATGCATCCGATAGTGAAAATAGTTCAAGGTATTTTCACCTCTGAAATTGGCACACATTAGTTGTGATCCAGGACAAAGGCTGATTCATTTGGAATTAAATAAATTATCAGTCATTAACACTGTAGTGCCTTATGTGTTTCATGAAGTGTTTGCTGCTGCTTTTAATTAAAATAAATGGTAATAGCTAATTTACCTTGTGCTTTTTGTGTACCTGGCATTGTGCTAAATGTTTTACATGTATGGTCTTATTTAGTATTTATTTGAGCTAGAATGACACAGTGAGAGGTTTTACTCATTATACCTGTTCTACAGATGAAAAGTCTGAGATTCAGAGTAATGCTTCAGGTTATTTACAGCATTCTGTAGTATTTATAGTAGTCTTATGTGGCTTAGCTTGGAACACCACAATTCTGAAAAACAAAAGTGTCATTCCAATGGCAATGATTTACATGAAAATGCTGTATGTATAAATGATAAACTACATGATGGTCTTTGAGTCATTAACATTGTATTTAACTAAATTAGAAAAACCTTCAATTATAGTAATGGTAATTATTAAACAGCTAACAATATTTATAAAATTTCTAGTAGATATACGTGAGTCTAAAATTGCAAAAGCAAAAACAATCAGTTGAGAAGGAAAATGTAAAATACTTGGCATACATTTGGTGGGCACACATGTTGAAGAGTTTTTGGAATCGAGCTTGGTGAATGTCACCGTGTTACAAAGAACTTTGTACCCTCTACGTGGGAAAGAAAAGTACTAGCCATTAATTTATTAAACTGAGAGGCTGAGGAAGCATAGGATAATAAAATCAGAAATGAACTTTCGCATACATTAGAGACAATGGAGTATTTGAATATGCAAATTATCTCTGCTCCTTGAATTAAAGACAATAGACATGTGCAGGAAAGCGAAAATAATGACAGCTAATATGGGCTTATTTGAAAAGAAAAAAATAGACTTGGTATATACTTGGAAATAGTTCATTAATGCTAGGTCTATGGAGTAGCTTGTTTATGGCAAGTATTTTTCCAGGTGGTCCCACAAATGCCAAATGCTTTGGTTTCATGTTCTGATGGTTTTTATTTTTCTTTTGCTTATCATTGACATTTTCTGTTGCTTGCTTCTAATTATCTTACATTAATTTTTCCCATTTGCTTTCTAAATTATTTTGCAGCTATTCTTCTCCACTTCCTCAGTATGATTCAAGGTGATAACTTGTCCTTTATGTGAACCATTCTCTTTTGTATTTTTAATTTATGTGAATCCCCCCTCCCCACCTCCCGCAGTTAGATTGTGTCAATGTCTGTAGTGTATCAGCATTTGTCATCTCGCTGTTCCTAAAACTAGAAATATTCATGTGTTAATTTTAGGATCATTTGTAGAATTCCTGCTTTAATTTAAATAATAAAAGATACAACGCACATGATTAAACATCACCTTTTAATTTGTTTCTGTAAGTTATATTGCATGGAATTTTATTTTATACAGAATATGTAAGGAATGAGTTTGGAAAACAAATCACTCTAGTTCATAGCGTGATTGAATAATAGAACCCATATTCTGCCTACCATGTACTCCCACCTTTCCCCAGTCTGTGGGCTCCATAAAGTTGAAAACCTTAGAACAATATACAGTTGGTCATGAGCTCCAGCTCCGCACGGGGTGCTATCAGAACACAAAGAGGCTCTTCCAATTTGTCATTAAAATCTCCTAAGCCATGTTTCTTTTTCCATTTGGTTCTGATATTCTTTGTAGCTGGGATATTTTTATATTGACACCGATTACCTTCTTACACTACCTTCAGACTGCAAATGCTATTTTATTTATATATATTTTAGTAACCAAGTCTGGCCTAGGCAGTTTCTTAGTACGCTTAACAAAATAGTTTTGTTCGTTAGTTCATTCAGTAAACGTGTCTTGTGTGTAGGAACTGTGCTCGGCTCTGCAGGAGGGGCAGTGAGCAAGGCAGACCTGATCTGAATGACTGTCTGTCTATCTCATTGAGACTCAGCTGCTTGTTGCCAGGGCATACATTGCCCTCCCAGTGTAAACACCCCCATGTTTATTGTACTGATACAACTGAATTTTCAAACCCAGAGTTAGTACTGAATCATTTTTTTCATCCATTCTCTTCCTATGATTCTCAATCACAAGTTGGTTTTCACCGTTAACTGCTGGGAGAGATCAGATTTTGTCTGAGACTTCATTGCCGCATTATCTTTGTTACTGACTAAACGTGGTTGTTAAACATGTATAGGTGTAAGAAAATGTAGGCTCCCAGCGTAGGTTCGTGAGCTTTGCATCATCTAGCACTGGAGACAGTTCGTGTGGACATGTGTGTAAGTGAACACGTATCTTTGCCCAGGAAGGAGTGCTTTTTTGTTTTGTTTTTTTTTGAAGGGGTCCATCTCTTCCCCTCAAATGTCACAGTGGCCCCAGTCTCTCAAAGTAGGTATAATGTTATGGAAAACATAAATTAACTCAGAAGAAAATGGCTAAATCCAAAATGAGCAAAAGGGCGTGAAGTTGATTCCGCCCCACTGATGACCAGTAACGGTTCTGAAAATCGGATTGGCTAAAAAATGACCTCCGTGTGTCTCTCTCCATGGGGATAGCAAGTCAGTTTGCTTTATTGAAGAGGTTGCTGGTCAAGAGGCTAACTCTTTAGGAAAGGGTCCCCAGCTAGGACCTCCAGCCAGGGTCCTCAAATCTATTTGCAAAATATTAGGACTGTTTTTAGATGAATAAATGATAGCGGATTTTGATGGATGGGATAATTTTTTCCCTAAAATACTGTAGGTAGTCAAACAATTTTCTCATCATCCACATTTAATGCTGTTCCAGTACCAAGCACATTTTCACATGTGAACATGAGAGTGCGCAGATCCGCGTTCCTGTTCACCTGCCTGCCGTGCACCCCTCCGTGTGTCGAGTTCAGCACGGTGGCCCTGGGGGGAGAACTTGCCGGGGGACTCCTTGCCCTGAGCATGCGACAGGAATCGCACATCGCAATGTGCTGTTTCCCTGATGTGACAGTTAATTTCTTTACATTTTCATATTTTTCTCATTAGCTTTAATGTAGAGGTCAGTGACAGAATTATGTAGTTGAGAGATATTTTCTAAGAGGCCTAAGTGATGATATTTGTATTGCTGTACAAATACTCAAATGTAGGTTATTTTAAAGCCAGATTTATATTTTAAAGAAATCAAATCCCTTTCCATCAAAATTGCCTTGGCGACACTAGTTATCTTCTGCTTTTATTATTATATTCTGCTTTGTGATAGTGAAAATTAGAGTGCTGGTCTGAGTAAATATACATTCATTTTTATGAACTGTACGTGTTAAGACATACTGTGGAGTTTCATCTTACCTTTCAGGGCTAGAGATTCCATAGTCAGCAAATGGCTACAACTATTTGCAGTTAAAATGATCCTTGAGTATAGCTTACAACACCCATAGGAGACCACATCCAGTGGTTTTGTTTTTTGTTTTCAAATGCATGACAGTCCTTTAGCCGGTTTTTATTCCCGTTTTGGAACCGTCACCGTTCCTTCCCTTTGAGCCATTGACGAAGTGGTTGGCTTCTCCCAGGGGGCCGTGTGCCACCAAAACTAAGTTGTCGTGTCTCCTTTTGTGCCCAGTTCACAAGTTAAATGCATGTTTGATGTGACTCCACCGTATTGACTTCCGATTTATTTTTAAAGAGAAGAAATGATAGCTGCATTGTCTGTCACTTTAAACTTCAACGTTTAATTTCAAAACCTCCTCTGGGAGATGGCTTATTTCTGTCCTTGATTTGGCCTCTGATCTTCTCCCTGCAGGTTTCTCGTGAGCTTCATGGTGGATGCGAGAGGCGGCTCCATGAGAGGAAGCCGTCACCACGGGATGAGAATCATCATCCCTCCACGCAAGTGCACGGCCCCCACCCGAATCACCTGCCGTTTGGTAAAGAGACATAAACTGGCCACCCCACCCCCCATGGTGGAAGGAGAGGGACTAGCCAGTAGGCTGGTAGAAATGGGTCCTGCAGGGGCCCAATTTTTAGGGTAAGTTATTGTGTCGATTTTAACCTTGGCCCTCATAACCACATCTTTGATTTTTCTTTACCCTTAACTTGAGAAGTTAGCTATTAAAACGGCTTAGTTGGACGGGGATTGAGTGCACCTTTTGTGTAGTGTCAGAGGTCACAAAGCTGTGTAAGTCCGTGAGCTCATAGGCTGATGATCCTCTCCTAACTCAGTTTGCTGGTCAAAGCTTTTACTAACCCAGAAGCATGTTCTCTGCTCAGTGAGTGCACGGAACCCCAACGCCACCCTTAGGGTCAAGGCACCATTCTTAGGGAAAATAAATATGGGTGCTGGAATTTTATCACCACGTTGAATAAATGGCTACTTTGGGTACATGTTCTTTTATGAAGATCACTGCTAGGGGAAACAATCCATTGTGATATGGTATTTTACAAAAACACTAAATTGATTTCATTATCTGAGGTGGCACTTGGGTGCAAATCAGGCAGGCTCTGTCGTGACGGACAGTTTGTTCACGGTTTCCCCTTCTCGTTTCTCTTCCTGCTGCATGGATCTTATTCAGTAAACTGCATCTTCCCACCCATCCTCCCCCTGTAACTGAGGGTGAGAGCTTGGTTAGCCGAATCCTGCAGCTTGGGCCTCAAGGAACAAAATTTATTGGGTAGGCTCTTCATAGACAAGATACAGAATGTCTACAATTCTTTTTCCATTTTCAATTTTTTTCTGTCACACCCATAGTCTTATTCTTAAGTTCATTTTTTTTTTAATTGTTAATGCTTTCAGTTGATGTGTGTCACTGAAAGGAAAAAACAAATCATAGTGGCTTGACTTAATGTAGCAACGCTACCTATCTTGTGCTTTTCAAGCATGTGGAATTCACTGCAAGCATTCTGCTTTCATAATTTTTTGTGCTTTTGCAAGCCTTTCTTTAATTTGAAATGTTTTGACTGAATATGATAGCTTTTCAGATAGATGGGCAGTCTAATTTCAATCCAGTGTAGGAGAAGGTATTTACAGCCTTTAAATCAACATTTGCTATTAGTGGGAGATGTATGTGTGTATATATATGTATATGTATATATATGTATGTGTGTGGAGTTACATTTAAAAAAAAAAGTCTGAGTAATTTTCATGGGCTTTGCGAAGGAAAAGTGATCAATAAGTAAACTGATTTCGAAAAATGTTGGGAATACGAGATAGGGAAAGAAAACCAAATAGGCAGCAGATAGAATATTCTACTGTAGTTACCACATTGTTTTGTTCTATTTTGTTTAGCTGATGTGTTGGTATGTGTCATTTGTTTGCTCGTCTGTTCGGTGTATGTGCCTTGGCAGTCTGCATGAGGAAACCTGTCATGAAAAGTTACGCTTGGCTTTCACCTGGTCAGAGGTCCTTGTCATATCTTCTCTCCAGTGATGTTAAGTGTCATACACACAGTCACATTCCCTAAATATTCACAGAGACAGTATCTGATACATTAACCTGCAAAGATTGTATATCGTTCTGAAAGAAATTAATATTTAATTATCAGCTGTGGTTAAAAATAAAAACTATGGTAAATAACTTAGAATTATTAACACTACTAGAGATAGTTGATTTTGCCTCTACCTGTCAAAAAAATAAAGGCATACATATTTTTTAAATCTTTAATTTGAATTAACTATACTTATTTTGCCAAAAGTATAATGATCATATTTGTCATCCCATTTTAAGTGAGTGCCAGTAGTCATGTTTTTATTATGTTATTTGATCATTGCAGCTACTGTCCCTTTTTATGTTCTAACCCAATGGAAGCCTTTACCTGCTGTTATCACACATACATAAATACATAGGTGAAGGGGCGAGGTTACATACAACCTCTGTAGGAGAATAATGATACTGTCTACTTAAATGTCATAAAAGAAAGCTGCACAATCCAACTACATAAATTGTATGTGATTGTGGTCTGCTTACTTCCATTCGTTTTTTTGTAACATTTATGCCATTTTAAAATTTAACAAAATTATTCCTGTGCTTGATTGGCTATCTTCAATTTGCAGCCATTCTTTTGCAAAGGACACTGTCAAAAATTAACAGATTATATGGCAATTTCAAACCAACAAGTGCTTTTTCAGAAAATTTAAATATTCCTATGCAGGTTAAACTAGAGCTAGGGAATTAAGCTGCCCTCTACCATTTCACAAATTGAAAATCAGAGAAAGTGTCTTAACTACCTAGGCTGTGAAAGTCATGCAGACGGACTATTGGAGGAGTGGGTTGTTACACTGATCGTTTTCTTGCTAAGGGGAAAAAAATCAGTAATCTTTAAAATAGGAAATTTACAGAATTCTTTTTTAAATAAATGACTGTGTCCTTTTAAATCATTAGCATTTTTTCTAAAATATAATAATATACCTATTGTGTTTTTAAAAATGGACCAACTTTCTTTCTTATGGTCTATTTTTATAATCTTCAATTCCTTGAATCAAAATTTATTTTTATACGGGCTAAATATTTCCCCCTCCCCCATTAAATCAAAAGCCTAACCTATAGTAGGCCCTCAAGAATTGTTTGTGAATGAATGAATGATGGCATGTTTTCAAGCTTCTAATATATTATTTAATTAGCAAATGATTCTGCAGCTTTGAAATCATTCCCAACCTTAGTGGCACCTCTGATTTTTCCAATGAATCCCGTTAATGAAACTTTTTTTTAAAGTATGATACTTTAAGTATATTTCATTTGATACCAAAATAATGTGGATTTTTTTCCAGCCCTGTCATAGTGGAAATACCTCACTTTGGGTCTATGAGAGGAAAAGAGAGGGAACTCATTGTTCTTCGAAGTGAAAATGGAGAAACATGGAAGGAGCACCAATTTGACAGTAAAAATGAAGATTTAACTGAATTACTTAATGGCATGGATGAAGGTAATTATGATGAATCTTTGTTTCTGTAAATCTCTGCAGGAAAAATATCAAAGGAATAACTAGACTAAAAGAAACATTCTGGACTTTACACATTTGTATTTCAAGCTGGGAATGAGGTTCCTCAACGTTAGTTGCTGTTTTCTGTATGTAAGGCATGAAGTTCCATTTAATGTAACAAACGTTTTCTCTCATTATACTAGTGTACAAGTAACGGTTGTGATTCTTTCATCAAATACGTCAATCTTTCCAAAACCCAAGAAAGTTTTCTAAGTCAAAGATGTATAAAGAGGGGGTGAAAAAATAGTGGAAGGTATGCAAAGTATGCAGAGCATTTGTAAGAAAATACGTTCACATTTTATTTTTGGAATTATTACTTTCAGACCCTTTCTTCTATCAGTTTTCCCCCAGATTCTCCCATTATTCTTCATGAATATTTAATTTCTCTTGAGCTGTAATCCATTTTAAAAAAATATGCTTCAGGCTAATTATTGGAGTCTTTGTTGCTGCAGGTCTTACTCTTTGACCTATAAGACTGACGTATAACTGAGCATGTCCCTTCCTCATGCACACCTCAGGCTGTCTAACCCTTAGAATCAAAGCCGTTGTTCTGAGGTGTGCAGACATTAGGAATGGGCTTACTTTGAGAGTAGGTACTTGATGCAGTTTTATAGACCAAGGTCACCATAAAATAAAGCCAGTCTTTATTTTATACTGACTTCCTAATCACTACAAATCCATCAGTTGTTTTAAATAACTGCTTTATTGGAGATATAACTCACATGCCATAAAATGGACTCTCTGAGGGTTTAACTCACTTATTTCTGGAATGCTTCCAGAAAAGTCACTCCTTGTTTCAAAATGTGGACAGAGGGGCTCCACAGATTCTAGGGTGTTTGAGGGATGACCATGGACAAGCTCTTTGACCCCTGTGAGCCTTTGTCACTTCTGTAACATGGAGATTACCTCCCTTACATTATAGGACTGTTGTTAAGAAAAAATAATTATGTGAAGACTAATGAAATACAGTCCCTGTCACATAGTAAGCCCTTGATAAATATCAGTTGTTGTCACTATTATATTATTCTATAGGCTAAAAAATTGTCATGCCAAAGGTTTTGCATAAGATAGTTCATTACAGCCAACCAGGAATTTCGGGTGTCTTTACAGCAAGGGGAGGGAACTAATGATGGTTGAGTGTCTAGCATTCATGAGGCACTAATAAACGCCTGTATATATGAAAATGTTAAATGAAAGCATAGTCCTGAAAAATGGGAAGTTTTCATCCCACTTCAGAGGTAACGGAACTGAAGTATAGACATGTCAAGTAACATATAACGTTACCCCAACTAAGTAGCCTCACCGGGGTTGAAATCTAGTCCTACCTGTTTTCAAAGACATTTAACTATATCCCCCTTATTTTAGAAATGTGTGTCTTATGGAGAAGAAAATAAACCTAAAGGGGAAAATTCCTACAAACCTGTAGATTTAAAGGTCCAGAGGGATAGTCATTTTAAATGTTATGTATTTAATGAGCATACATTAAATGTCTCTTCATAATACTGATATTTATATCACCATCTCCAACTTCAGATAATTTCTGATGGATAGGAACATGCAATGGCAAATAAGATTTTTCATTTTTATTACCTTAACTTATTTCAAAGCATGAAAAATAGTCATTCTCTTAGAAGGACATTTATAAGAATATATAATCAAGAGTTTTAAAAAAGAATAAATACTAAGAGAATGAATTGAATTAGCATTTTGAAAATAAAAATAATACAAATAATTCAGAATAAAAATCTGAGAGAATAAGGGAAATGGGTTTTCCATAGAGGATAGTTTGTTTTTGTTTTAAGGAAAATAAAATATAAAAATATTTTCATATATCCATACTTCTTAAATGCTAATGTAGATGACTAATCTTTAAAATGTAGCATCCACTACACAGAATTTTCTACTTTTTAATGGAGAAAATTGATACTGTGAGCTCCGAGAGCAGGGTACATGTCTTGGTCACCTTTGAGTCACCAGTGTCAGGCACAGAGCTGCTTTAGACTAACTCATGCAGTCCCGGTGAGTGAGCAGAATGAGGAACCGCAATATTATAAGATGTAGCTTTATGGAGGAAAGTTCTCATTAGTTCATTTCCTCTACCCCAAACTTTGTTAGTGTTCATCTCCAGGAGAAAAACAGTTAAAGAGGAGCATTTACTTTGAGGAAAGTACTGGAGAGTAACTATATTCTAGCAGGAATATTGAATATTCAAAGACAGTGCTATCCAATAGAACTTTCTACGGTGATGGAAATATAAACACTGTGCTTTCCAACAGCCATCACTAGTCACAGGTGACTCTTGAGTACTCATCATGTGGCTAGTGCAGGGGTGGGCAAACTTTTTGACTCGATGGCCACAATGGGTTCTTAAACTGGACCGGAGGGCCGGAACAAAAGCATGGATGGAGTGTTTGTGTGAACTAATATAAATTCAAAGTAAACATCATTACATAAAAGGGTACGGTCTTTTTTTTTTTTAGTTTTATTCATTTCAAACGGGCCGGATCCGGCCCGCGGGCCGTAGTTTGCCCACAGCTGGGCTAGTGCAACTGAGGAAGGGAAGTTTTAATTTTAAGTAATTTTAAATAGCCATGTGTGGCCAGTGGCTATCTCATTGGACACTGAAGTTCTAGCAAAAACCACCTAATATTCTAATAATATATTCTTCTTCATTTTTTAGTATAAATGATAGTATCTCCTATCAGGCAGAAATAGAATTTTTTTTTAAATTATGTGGAATGAAGTTCCATAATTTCATGCTGACATGACTTTATTTTGTTTTTAATAAACCAACTTTCAAATAGGAGTGAGTCATGTCTTTGCCTAGACAAATGATTACCCATACTAAGGAGTTTTAAAGAAATGAAGATGTAGCCCTCTGTCCTGGATTCTGTGAGTTATCTTGGAAATAGTAGATAGAGTTTCTATGCTACATTTTTAAAGACCAGATAAACTTGGGTTCCATTTTAGACAATTAAAAGGAAATGTAAATACTTTCGGGCTTAAAAATCAAGCACTGGAGAGCCAGCGCAGCAAAAATGAGGACTGAATGTTGAAGGCACAGTGGTTTTCTTCATGTATTGAATTTTAAAATAATAATTATGAAGATCGCCGAAACCGGTTTGGCTCGGTGGATAGAGCGTCGGCCTGCAGACTGAAAGGTCCCAGGTTCGATTCCGGTCAAGGGCATGT